GGTCAATATGCCATAAAGAAAAAGTAAATCTGTTCGACAGTCTGGTTTCATATGGGTGTTGGAGAGATGTACCCATAGATTTTAAGGCCCTAACTTTGAACCAGATTGAGCCATTTAACTTCAAACATTTAAAAAAAAAATCTTCCCGGGGATAATGGCCCCGGACCCCCCTACTTGAGGGTCTACCACCTGCCTAAACACCCCGTCAATTGGTCCCAGCCCATATTGAGGATGCTTCCTACACCTATGCCCCTGAGACACAGTTTCGTGAATATTTATTGTTGTTTTATTGAGGTTTAAACAGGTTTAAGTAGTCCCATGCGCTTTAGCTGAAATTTTTAATATTTTCCTTTAGAATTAGCAGGAAATTATTGCTATTCAAATTGATTAAATATTTTGGCCTCAACCCGAATGGTTTGACTCCATGCGTTACGGCCTTGGCCCGTTTAGCGGAGCCCCTTATGAAGCCTTATGCGACATCCCGGAAACTTGAAAATGTACGCTAAGGGCCGCACTTGCCGTTGGAAAAGCCGACAACAGGAGACCTTGAAATAACGTCAGACATAGGCCGACTGGGAGTTCGAGCGATGGTGTTGCCCACAGGCACCCCAAAAAGAAATCTCTAGCGCCGCCACTGAGCCTGCAACCCCGTTTGGAAGAAATGTGCAGTGCCAAACAGGGCGCTCATTGCAGCCACTAATGCTAAGACACACTTTTCTGCCAAATATCAGCCATTTTCTTCTTTTTTTTTTTTAATTTTTTTTGCAAAGATTGCCAAGTGGCCACAGTATTATTAACTTATTGTTCTAGCCAAATTGGATTGTATTTTATGTATTTTTTTATTTTAAGCAAACAGACTCATGGAGCATTGTTTTTATTATCACTGTTCTAGCAAAGGAATGCTTCACGTTCATATTGATGTATTATTAAATAAATGTAACTTGGCCCATACGTGACTATTTGTGTTTGGGGGGCGGGGGGGGCCCCGGACTTTTTTTTTGCTCCAAAAGGGGGCCTGGACAGAAAAAGTTGGACAGTGCCTCTACAGCGAACAATCCAGAAATCTTCCACTGCAGCTCAGCTCTCATGCAGATGCTCTCACATTAAACACGCCAGGAGGAGGCACAGATTACAGGGCCTTGATTCTTTAAACGTTTAATGGAAACATCTGTGATTCAGCAGAGTTGCGGAAAGCAAGTTCAGACACTTGTCATTCAACTTGGTGGCAGCAAATGCAAATAAAGGAACACATTAAAAGAACCAAATAGGATGGACTTTTACATTAGGAATGAGGGCCTTTGCCACTGCATTCATGGACGTCAAAATGAGCCAAAAGAAACAACTTTCCCAATCAGGGAAATTAGACCTTTTGGAAGAACGTGTGAATCGAACGTGATGATGTTCTTTTATGTTCATGAATTCAATTGAAAACAACACACCCAGCTGGGGCGGTAGGTAACACTCCGCCCCAGAGCGAATACTTTACATAATGCACAGACACTGGCGAGGAACAGAGAATATAAATGGATGTGAACACGTTGGAATTTAATATTAGACCTTCAAATATAAACATGCCTTCCCAAATAAAGACCTGTTTTCTCACTAGCTGGTATTTTACAGGAATGCCACTAATGTTGTGTTGTAATATTCACTGCCAGTAATGCTTTACACCATCAGCGGTTTTTATGTGAGCGCCCCTCTCTCTAATCACCGCTTGGTTGCTGTCTCCGCTCTGTTTGAGGGCCAGGTATGTTCAGCATAAAAAGCCCAGTTAATAATATGTAATCTCCTAAACTCCCTCCATCTGCCCCACACAACAGCACACACCATAACAACACAAACACCACACACCACACACACACACCACACACACACACACACACACACACACACACACACACACACACACACACACACACACACACACACACACACACACACAGAGTGTGCCAACACAACAAAGGCTACTTAAAGCTGCCAGGAAGCCGAAGCATGCGTTTTAATATTCTTTAATAAACCCTAAAAATATGCTACAATAGCTTGACTTCTTTTCCTCTCACACACACCACCTAAAGTGTGTAAAGAAGAGCTGTTTACTTGCATATTAAAGCTTGCAGGATTTGGGCGGAAATGCCCCAGAAAATGTCGACAAAAAGACTAATAAACCCAGCAGGCAGATAATCAGCTGCTGAACAAAAGGCTTAGGGAGAAGAAGACAGAGCAGAGAACAGATTAATGTGGGAGTTCATTCACCAGCACAGGAAACACATCTACCAAATAATATACAACTTGGAAGCGCTATAACAACATTTATGTAAGAGCGTGGAAAAGTTAACTGAAGTACAACACTTGAGCCGTACTATTTACCTGCAGTATTTTTTCAATACTATTATTTACAAGGGATGTTATTCACTTAATCAAATCAGAATTTTTGACACATACATACTTGTATAATAGGATTATTTTGTATAGATTAAACCACTAACATTTATTATACAGCTCTTAAACATGAGAGGTTAACCAGAAACAAAATGTCAGAAGTCTTTTTGTTCAAAAAAAACACGTTCCAGCTTCTTAAATGTGAAGGATTTGCCCTGCTTTTGGCTTTGAAATATTTGAATATATTTTTCGTTACAGAAGTACTTTCACTCATAATTATTAATTCATAAATGCAGCCTACTTTTTACTTGAAATTTGACACTTTTACAGTGTGTTTGTACTCTGATACTCAAGTAAATTAATCTGAATACTTCTTCCACCAAGAGTATTATCATGCCCTTTTAAAGTAAGAGCACTAGGAGCGAACTGTCCTTTGCTAAATTGTTAGTATCACACTGAGAAAGTGATGGGAGGAGCCTGAGACTCACTTTACGTGTCTACCAGGCGGCTGCAGGAACACTGTGGAGTTTAGTCGCTCTCTCAGCACCACGCCCCCACTTTGGTCTCCCTAAAACCAGTTCATTTCTGGTTGCATTGGCCCCTTTACACACACACACACACACACACACACACACACACACACACCACCACACAACACACACAACACACACACACACACACCACACACACACACACACACACACAAACACACACACACACACACACACACCACAACACACACACACACAACACCACCTGAAATAAAGATCTAGTATATTGTACGTAGACGCTTCTGAATGGCATTTTCTTTATGGCGTGTATTATTTCATTTTTCTTTATTTTAAGATACAAAATACAGTCTATGCTTTTTGATTGTGAATTTTTAGTTAAACAGCATTTGTAAACTATTACTGTTACTACATAAGCTTACATAATTACATACACTAAGTAAAAAACAGTATTTTTTACTATTAATTGGACATGTATAGTTTCTGTAAACGGATTACACTTTCTAAAGTTACCCTGCTGGTTGTCACGAGCAAACAAATGCTTAAACCGCCCCCACAAGTTTTGGGATTGTACAGATCCCCATCAGCGGCTGACAGAGCCCCCGGCCCCTGCGAGGATAATCTTTCTTTAGCTTTTGTTGTTTCTTTGATCCTTGTGTATCTTATCTTATCAGACACCACTGAATCAATGCATGTCTTTCTTTCATCTTAAACCCACGATGTGGAATTGATCTTCATCAGGGGAGAACAAGACATCAAAAAATAGAAGAGAAATATATTTTTAAGCCGTAATGTTTCACAGAAGCTTTGATGGAGTCAGTGAGTGAAAATAAAACAGTCTGAAAGTGCATGGTGACATCACTGAAAGCCATCAGAAGAGGAAAAGGTGAATCCTGAAATAACTCTGACTACAGTAAGAGAGAGAGGAGAAGTAGGTCAAGAACTCGTATTAAGACGCTCCGAGGGATAATGTTTGATTAAGCTTTGTGGAGGAGCGTAAGAGCAGTTGGCAGCGTGTCATCGTCCTGATCAAAGACCCCAAAACAACGTCGGAACTCAGGCTTTCATTATTCATGAGGAATTAGCCTGCACTTGTCAATGGGAAAATGAATAGAGATTTCACAGGGTTCATGCAGCAGCACACGTCCGGATGCTTTTCTCTGAGACTCACTCAGAGCAAGTAACGATGTTTATTCCATCGCAGAGCATTCTTCATCATTAGACTCAAACACCAAGCATGAGCACATTCGAACTCTTCTCTTATGCTTATTGTTACTGGTGGAATGTAACCAAGTACATTTACTCAAACAAGTATTATTTTTGTAAAACCTGTAATTTACTCTACTTCCATTGTATGCTACTTTATACTTCTACTCAGAGCCTAAATTCTACTTTTTACTCCATAACACTTGTAGTTACTATACATGCTTGTACAAGTGAAACATTTTTATATTTATATAATATTCTTTATAAATACTTTGAAAGAGCTTCTGCATACTTTTAGCTGTGATACTTTAACTACATTTGGCTCCTGTAATTAATGTAAATGATATTGGTATTTGTGCCGACAATACGGGGACAGAAAAAAAAGATTCCTCCTTTTTTAGCGTTGCATATTTTATTCTTAAACAATTGCTAGTGTGATACATCCTAGAAGTTATCCTATGACCATTTACAAAGGGAGAACAAGGGGAATTAATACTGTAAAAGCATGAAATAGATTTTATTCTGAGCTAAATGTTGTGCTTAGCATGTTGTCAGGCTGCTTTCAGGAAGGAACCTTATAACACCACCTATTTTTTTAGATATAAAAATGTGTGTGTGTGTGTGTGTGTGTGTGTGTGTGTGTGTGTGTGTGTGTGTGTGTGTGTGTGTGT